CGACAGACGTAGCAGGAGCGGTCCTTGTGCAGGGGACACCCATTACCTCCACAATAGCCTGCAAAAGAGAACAGATTAGTCCATTCAATGACACTCTCTTTCTCTTGAACTTGGACTTACCATAGGCGTACTGGTTGGACTTTGAGCTGTTCTCGGCAAAGTAGATGCCGGCGCCGAACATGCCGCCGATGTAGGCGTGCCGCTCGTCGAAGCCCTTCTGGACGATGGCGTTGATGAAGGGCGAGCCGTGGAAGAGCATCCGCTCGTTGGCGAAGCCGTGGTTCTCCTCGCAGACCTCGGCGCGCCGGTGCAGGTACCGCTGCCACAGTTTGAGGTTAATCAGCTTCTGAATGCGAATGATGCGGTAGCGGCTGAAGGCGCCGCCCGACGTGCCGCCGTCCTTGTGCTGCCGAATGGTCATCTGCATCTCGTCCTCCACGGCGCGGTACTCACGGTCCTCCGGCGCCAGCTGGATCATGTAGGTGGTCGAGGTGGAGAGAGGAGGGGCTCCGCCACCACCAGGACTGTTCAGGAAGGGCTGAAGCTGAGGAGGAACCGAAGAAGAAGAGGAGGAGGATGAAGTTGTGGACATCGGCGCTTGTGCGACCGCAGGAGTGGCACTGGCACTGGCCGCCCCTGCCGAGTTGATCAGAAGCTTCTCGACGCCCTTGAGTATCTTGTGGCGGTGTCCGTAGGCGGCCACGCCAATCTGCTTCAGCTCCTCGTGGCCCATCTCCGCGAGAATGTCCATGGAGATGTGCTCTCGGGAGAGCGTCTCCAGGAGAAAGTCCAGGCCCAGGGAGGAGAGGAAGCCGGAGACGGTGATGGAGGAGGGCAGACAGGTGGACACCGGCAGGTAGTGGGTGATCGAGTGAGAGCCTAAAGTGCTCGAGGATGAAGAAGTGGAAGGTTTGCTGCTCGAAGCTAGGGAGAGAACTCCTGAGGACGAGGATGAGGATGAAGTGGTCGTGGTGGACATTGTGGTGGTGGTCATCGGTGACAGCGTCTGCGTGACCGGAGTCAGCTGATTCGACTGCCCATCGCCACTGCTCTGCTCCCCGCCATCCACCGAGGAGATGTCCCCGTTGACGTTGTCGGCATTGCGCTGGGCGAGCAGCAGTGCCAGCGAGGAGGGCACCTCAGGAGGCGGTGATACGACTGCTCCAGCAGCAGCTGATGTTGTTGCTGTCCCTGAAGACACACCACCACCACCTCTTTCACCACCTCCCTCTGCAATGCCCACCGAGTTCATCATGAGGAGGAGGAGGTGCTGCAGCCGCTGGTCGGCGGTGACGGCCGCCGTGGCCAGCGCTGCCGTTGAGCTGCTGCTGCTGCTGTTCTGCTGAGATTCAATCGCCGACAGATCTTGAGGAGTGGCAGCTAATGCTTCTGAGGCTGAGATCATACTCAAATCACTGCTCATCGTTGACTGACTAGAGGAGGAGGAGGGCAGACTGGGCAGGTGATGGAGGGAGGCACTGGAGACACCCGAAGAGGTGGTCGACGAGGACATGGAGCTCGAGGCGGAGGAGGAGTTGACCAGCAGGGAAGCTGCTCCTGGAGTTGAGGAGTTGATAATCGAAGGAGGTGGTGGAGGTGGTGGAGGTGGAAGGACGGCGGTGATGGGCGAGCTGGAGTACAGCGGCGGCTCCACCTGGGCGTCGAGCAGCAGACACTGGACGTCCTCGGCGCTGGCCAGGTCCAGCGCCGTCTGTCCCTCGTGGTTCTTCAGCGTCGGATCGGCGCCGTGGGCGAGGAGGAGGGCGCACAGCTGCGTCCGTCCCTTCTGAGCGGCCTCGTGGAGCGGCGTGAAGCCCCAGCGGTCGGTGGCGTTGACGTTGGTGTCGTGCTTGATGAGCAGCGCGGCAATGTCCAGGTGGCCGTAGGAGGCGGCGTTGTGCAGCGGAATGAGGCCGCCCTTGTCGGGGGCGTTCACGTCGGCCTTCCCGCCAATCTTTCCATTTGCTGTTGGCAATCCTTCGAGGAGGTACTGCGCCACCTCAAAGTTGTTGTAGCCGGCGGCCAGGTGCAGCGGCGTACTGTTCCGCCCCTGGGCGTCCCGGCAGTTGACATTGTCGGGGGTGAGCAGGCGGACGAGCCGAGCGAGCTCGCCCCTCTTCGCCGCCTCGAGGATGGCCGCATTGCCCAGCAGCAGGTCGGTGATCTCCTGCATCACCTCGGAGAGTGGTGGCGAAGGAGGGGAAGATGGTGTTGCTGCTGTTGAAGAAGTGGTCGTCGTCGANGAGGGGTGGCGAAGGAGGGGAAGATGGTGGTGCTGTTGAAGATGAGGCAGTCGTCGAAGGAATCGTCGAGGCCGCCCCAGAGCCACTGGTGGGAGCCCCCGAAGAGCTGGGCGTCACTCCTGTCCCTCCGCAGACACTCTGGCAGACAACATCAAGCGGCGTCTCGCCGTCCCGGTTCTTCTTGGCCGGATCGGCGCCATGCCGCAGCAGCAGCCGCACAATGTCCACCTTGCCCTTGCTGGCCGCTTCGTGTAGAGCCGTGAATTTCCACAAGTCGGTGGCGTTGACGTTCGCACCGCGACGCACCAGCAGCTCCGCCACCTCGTAGTGTCCGTAGCTGCAGGCGTTGTGCAGCGGAACTGAAGGGAATGAGAAAGGAAAAAAGATTTAGAAAACAAAACTTGAGCAAAAACGCTTGGCTGTACGATCAACAACAGCTTCTACCACCACAGTGTAAGCCTCTCAGTCTGGAGGAAAACGCGGCATTTTAGTGAACTGCTCACAGAGTACGTGACGCGGATTTAGCGCCACCAGTTGCGGTTGGTGACTTTTGGAACTACAGCTTCTCTCCTGCCACCGAGAGATGGCGCCGCCTCTGCGGTGTCATCATTTGCGAACGGCGCACAAAAAGCTGACTTTGTGGCAAGCCTACAAAGTAGAAACAAAACAATCACTCCCGTTTTACTCACCCAGTCCGCCCTTGTCCTTAGCGTGCACATCCGCCCCTCGTTCCAGGAGACACTGCACCACCTCCAGGCGGTTGTAGCCGGCAGCAAAGTGCAGCGGCGTCGACTGTCGCCCGTCCACGTCGCGACAGTTGACCAGGTGGGCGTGCTTCCCTAGAATCGCCCGCACCACCTCCACCTCGCCGCTCCGGGAGGCCTCGAGCAGCCGCCTCTCCGCGTTGCCCTTGGACGTCAGCCGGTGGTTGGCGA